ATGCCCGCATTAATAAAATAAATAATCAGCATGTATCACATTTTTGCATTCAGGCCTGCAGAGCATCACAACTGCGATCAGTGCGTCATGGGCACCACGCACAGGCTCTCACATTGTTTACCCCAATTCCCTGGTCCATGTGGGGCTGGAGGAAGAAAACAATGGACTACAAGTGCAGTGACACCACTGTCCTATTGCCGGTGCAATCTGTGAGTCCCTCTGCCGCAGTGAGAGATGAGACATGTAGTCTTCCCATTCACAGTTTCCTGTGAATGGATGATGTGGCTGCGCATGGCTCTGCATGGCACAGGGATCAATGAATGGGTTGTGGCGCCCCAAATTCAAAACAAAACAAATACGTTTCCCCACTTCAGGTAAGTGGGGAATGCGTCAATGGTTCATGTTACACCCTAAATATGGAAACATGGTATGAAAGGTGGACTATGCCTTTGAATTGGAAAGTGCACTTGTCTCCCTTGCAATATATTGGCAGCTGCGGGCAGTATAAAGGTGCCCATACACCTTACGACCATCGCAAGACTCTAGTCTTGCGATGGTCGTAAGCTTATTAAAGGCTCGTACGATCTGCCCATCTTGGACAGGCAGATCGTACTTGCGATCATCGAAAGCCAGCCCTGCTTAGGGGCGGGCTTCTGATGACCGCAGTGAGGGGGCGGGCTTCCGATCACTGCAAACGGGCAGTATGCGCGTGCGCACACTGGCCCGTTCGGCAGTTGTCGAACAAGCAGGCCACTAACCCGCCTGGAATCATGCGATTCTCGGCGGGTTTTCAAGCCTGCTTGTTCGACGGAAGACGTGCGACCATACAGTAGAAACGGTCACACGCCTTCCATACACTGTACGATTATCATACGATCGCTGGATTTCCACGATTTTCGTACGAGAATCGTACATTATATGGCCACCTTAAGTTTCTAAATTGCATAGATAAATTTTTCGGTAGAGTAGACACGGCTGTGCTGCCAGATCCAAGACAAGGTAATTAATATGTGTAGAAACGTATGCAAATAATCGCTCAGACCAGGAGTGGGCCACTCCGGCCCTCCAGCTGTGCTTTAAAAGGAGAACTATGAGGTGGGTGCTTTTCACTCACCTCATAGTTCTAGCCGACACTCTTAATGGCCCTACACCAACCAGATCAGCGCATTGCTGCAGCAGGTAAAGCCTGGTGTCTGCAAGTAACTGCGGGCACTCAGCCTGTACAAATCAATGACAAACTGACAGGCTCCCTATCTGTCCTAATGTAACCGCACACTGCTCTTCATGGCCCTACACCACCCAGATCAGCGTATTATTGCGGAGGGTACAGCCTACTGTCTCCAATTAAAAAAGTGTATGGCCAGCCTTAGTGATTATATTTTTGCATAGAGAGGGGCCCCTTCTGGCAGGGGGCCCAAGGCAATTTGGGACTGAAAAACAGAGGAAAAGAAAAGAAGAGCACAGCAAGTGTCGCTTATTGGGGAGACATAAAAACGTTGGGAACAGGATTGCTACCCCCAGCCATGACCAGCTTATAGTATTCATGGCCACGTATAGACGTGAGATCCCCAACCAATCACAGATCAGCTCTATTATAACTCTGATGATTACAGTCTTTGCAGCTACATATCTGACCCTTCAGGGCGGCTGACAGTGTCATGCACAGGGATATGAATGGACAATCTTGCTGGAGGCATATAGAGAAGGATTATAACCTAATTACTAAGATCACTTGTGTTTTACGTTTAACGTTTAACGTTTTCACCCGAATTCCTTTGCTACGGATGTATTCTAATTTTATATTTCCTATGTCCAAGATCTGCCTGCTTCCATAGTGTTGCCGCGATGCTAAGATAAACATTGTGATTGTTTACATGCAATGAGGATGTTATATGTATAAAAACACATATTGATCTGGGACATTGGCGGTGCCCGTCCACATGCGACAGGTCCTGATTTCCAGGGACAGTTACAGCTTTTTAATCCCTGGATCTCTGGTTTTCAGTGTAAGATTTGATTTATTTTTCTCACATGTAGCGTTACAGCTTTTCCTGCAGTCATTTATGGAGAACATTGAACCGTATGCATCAATCGCTGCCCACCAAAGGAGCTTACACTCTAATATTCCCACCATAGTCATACACACACATCACAGGGTCATTCTCAATGGAGGTCAGGTGATCAGTCTATGCCAGAGTACACACAGGATTTTGTATGTTGGCTCCGTACCCAAAACTGACCTTTCCATTATGGGGGGATGATGATCCCACACTGATTTCTTAGACATTTCAAGTAGCATCTTCTTATTGGATTTCCAACCTCTGACCTTTCCCAGCCATTCCAAATAGCCTCACTCCTCCTGCTGCATTAGCCTGGGTTCACAGCTTTGCGTGTGCATTGTGGCGTGATCTTTACCGTCCATTATGATGCATTTGAATGGCTGCCTACTGCATCTGAATCACATCCTACATGCATTACCTTTTTTTAAAAATTGTGTCGCACCACAACGCATGGTTAACATGCACTGTGGAGCAATGCAACACACATGCAATAGCTAGGTGCCAATAAGAAATAATGGCACCACGGCGCACCTAGCCTTGTTACACACAATCTCGCAGGAACGCACACGTGGATGTGAAAGGGGGCTTCTTCAAGAACCAATTACAAATCTGACACAGCAGACAGGGCTCTGGTTTTGTGAAAGTGGTAGCTCGCCTGCTCTGGGTACCCGGGCACAGAGGTGCTCCCCGGAACCCAATGAGCAGGGGAACCTCCCTGCATCCACCCCAAAGTGCAATATGACTTCTGAGTGCAGCAAACTAATACCTATTTTACCACTTAAAAATTATGCAATCTTAAAAAAACATTATTATTATATCCTTATACAGCATGGGTGTGAACCTCTGATTGTCCAGCTGTTGTAGAGCTACAAGTCCCACGAGGCATTGCAAGACTGACAGTTACAGGTAGGACTCTCGGAGGCATTTTGGTATTTATAGTTAAAGCACAGCCGGAGGGCCGGAGTTGCCCACCCCTGTTATACAGAACTAATATAGTGCCAACAGTTTGCACCACGCTTTACGGGAGACAGAACAGTTACAAATACAATACCATACGGGATGGTTAGGAAAGCCCTGGCCATGAGAGCTTACAATCTAAAAGGCAGCTTTATGAATCAGTAATGAGTCTGATTCTAACCATATTGCAGTGTGTGTGCTCTCCTCTATGGGAATCAATGTACAATCAGAATCTTTAATTAGCGTGAGCGGGAATTACGTGCGTGTGTTTGTGTATACATCTCAATTTAGGAGCCGGTCTATCCAACCCAGGAGCCAGCAGGATTGACAACTAGAGAAAAGCTACAAAATTAGGTGCAGGCTGTAATTTGTAAAGAGCATTTGTGACCTGGCTCCTGGCTGGGATTTGTCCTGATATGAATGTATATAATATAAAATCACCAAAGACTATAATATCTATCTATCTATCTATCTATCTATCTATCTATCTATCTATCTATCTATCTATCTATCAGGAAAGTTACACGTAAAGGTGGCAATGTGTTTGGCACTCATATGAAGAATGCCAAGGCTCGGTACATATAGTTCCTGTAGACAATCTGTATAATGAATATGTCAGTATAACTACAAAGTGTCTCTGCGGGTTATTATCAAATGTTGTCAAATGTTGCCATTTCCTATAAGCATAAGTGTTGGGCTGCGGGAAAAGTATTTGGATTTGAAGTATACCGTACAGAAAGGTTGGCACTGCCTGACAGGCGATGTGCCCAGTGGCACAGTCTTATATGACATTACAAAGCCTACCTTTTTACAGTCATGTTTGTACACATCGGGCATCATAAATAAAAAGCCCGCGCCATTCCCTTTGCCTCGAAGAATCCCCCTGAACCCAGCGGAACATTGACATTTTTTCCTCTCTCCATAGGGAAAAGAAAGCCATGCGGAATGCCGTGCAATCATTGCGCAGGCAATGGAGCGCTATCTGTGGGCACTCCCCCCGCGTCAAACAAAATGTGACCGCTCCTCCCCGGGCAGAAACGACGCCTGCACAAGCCTGCGTGAGCAGAACCAAACAGATGACGCTATTTACAAACTTTATCCTAAAAATAACCAAACTGACAGAAAGGTGGAGATCCCCTTTAACTGCCGCGCTTCTCTCGCTGTGTGCGTTCTCAGAGAAGTGCAACGGCTGATGTGCGGCAAATAGGCGAATAAGCAACGCAAGGCAAGAGGATGAGAATTGTGATTCAATTTCTTTTTTTTTTCTTTGTTGGTCGCCGAGCAGATTGCATCATATATCTATCACATTCCACCCACATTGTACATTCCAACTACTTTCACTTTTTATTTTTTTCACAACTCCACTTGAGATCTGCGTTTCTAAGTGGCGCGGAAAGAAAAAAAAAATCGACCACCCTCCCGGCTGCTAATTCCTTAAATCCCCACTTACCGCTTTTATCTGGATCTTGTAGATCTCTTGGCAAGATTCCTTAGACACAGGATTACAATTGAGGCTACATAGCTGGTAGCCATGCAAAAAAAGGGACAGCAATGCATGCAGGAGAGAAGGTGATGTGCAAAGTGCAGTAACCCACCCCCCCCAACCAATCAGCTTCCAGCTTTCATCTGCTCAGAGCAGCCTGGACTGTGAAAGCTGTCCTCTAATTGGTTGGTTTAGGTCTCTGCTCTTTTTTCTTATTTTATCATTGCATATAAAGAAATTCAGGCTGCAGACTCTGCAACAGTTTGCTGGTGCTGAGTATTCTCATACTACACCCGCTATGTGTGTCAGTAGGCAGCTGTACCGTCACAATATAAGGGGCTCTGTCATTTCCTTTCTGTGTGTTGCAATCTGACAGAGAGCAGACAAAAAAGAAACCCCGATGACTTTGTATGTACATGTGCCTGTAAACTTTGCATGGGGCAGAGGTGGCCGGGAAGGGGGGTGAGGAGCTCCTGGCAGGGCACATGCCCCCCGCTTACCTTGGTAGGACGATGCTGAAGCGCAGGGTTAATAGTCCATGCTCGTTGCGGACGGTGAGAAGCGTCAGTTGGGAGAGCGGAGAGATTGCAGCTCCACCATGCAGCAGCAACAGCAACAGCAGCAGACTCCACAAGCCTCTGGGCTGTGTGTGTCTTCATCCACAGGCTCTGCCTCTACTTGACGTCAACTTCACTGTCACATGGCCACATGAAAGCCAAGAGAGCACTGGTTGTCGTAGCAACTCCGGGGCTGCTGTGAAATTATTTCAATGGGGTCATCCGTCATAGTGTGTGCACATTAGAGGGCTGCCTGAGAACACCCAACCCGCCCGGCTCCTCTGCATGGTAGATTAGGGGGGTCTGCATAGACACATGGCAGATTAGGGGCGTCTGCATAGACACAGTAGATTAGGGGGGTCTGCATAGACACATGCCAGATCAGGGGGGTCTGCATAGACACATGGCAGATCAGGGGGGTCTGCATAGACACATGGCAGATTAGGGGGATCTCACATGGTAGATTAGTGGGGTTTGCATAGACACATGGCAGATTAGGGGGTCTGCATAGACACATAGTAGATTAGGGGGGTCTGCATAGACACATGGTAGATTAGGGGGGTCTGCATAGACACATGGTAGATTAGGGGGGTCTGCATAGACACATGGCAGATTAGTGGGGTCTGCATAGACACATGGTAGATTAGGGGGGTCTGCATAGACACATGGTAGATTAGGGGGGTCTGCATAGACACATGGCAGATTAGGGGGGTCTGCAGAGACACATGGCAGATTAGGGGGTCTGCATAGACACATGGTAGATTAGTGGGGTCTGCCTAGACACATGGTAGATTAGGGGGGTCTGCCTAGACACATGGCAGATTAGGGGAGTCTGCAAAGACACATGGCATATTAGGGGGGTCTGCATAGACACATGGCATATTAGGGGGTTCTGCATAGACACATGGCAGATTAGGGGGGTCTGCATAGACACATGGCAGATTAGGGGGGATCTCACATGGAAGATTAGTGGGGGCTGCATAGACAGATAGCAGATTAGGGGGCTGCATAGACACATGGTAGATTAGGGGGGTCTGCCTAGACACATGGCAGATTAGGGGGCTGCATAGACACATGGTAGATTAGGGGGGGCTGCATAGACACATGGTAGATTAGGGGGGGCTGCATAGACACATGGTAGATTAGGGGGGGCTGCATAGACACATGGTAGATTAGGGGGGGCTGCATAGACACATGGTAGATTAGGGGGGGCTGCATAGACACATGGTAGATTAGGGGGGGCTGCATAGACACATGGTAGATTAGGGGGGGCTGCATAGACACATGGTAGATTAGGGGGGGCTGCATAGACACATGGTAGATTAGGGGGGGCTGCATAGACACATGGTAGATTAGGGGGGGCTGCATAGACACATGGTAGATTAGGGGGGGCTGCATAGACACATGGTAGATTAGGGGGGGCTGCATAGACACATGGTAGATTAGGGGGGGCTGCATAGACACATGGTAGATTAGGGGGGGCTGCATAGACACATGGTAGATTAGGGGGGGCTGCATAGACACATGGTAGATTAGGGGGGGCTGCATAGACACATGGTAGATTAGGGGGGGCTGCATAGACACATGGTAGATTAGGGGGGGCTGCATAGACACATGGTAGATTAGGGGGGGCTGCATAGACACATGGTAGATTAGGGGGGGCTGCATAGACACATGGTAGATTAGGGGGGGCTGCATAGACACATGGTAGATTAGGGGGGGCTGCATAGACACATGGTAGATTAGGGGGGGCTGCATAGACACATGGTAGATTAGGGGGGGCTGCATAGACACATGGTAGATTAGGGGGGGCTGCATAGACACATGGTAGATTAGGGGGGGCTGCATAGACACATGGTAGATTAGGGGGGGCTGCATAGACACATGGTAGATTAGGGGGGGCTGCATAGACACATGGTAGATTAGGGGGGGCTGCATAGACACATGGTAGATTAGGGGGGGCTGCATAGACACATGGTAGATTAGGGGGGGCTGCATAGACACATGGTAGATTAGGGGGGGCTGCATAGACACATGGTAGATTAGGGGGGGCTGCATAGACACATGGTAGATTAGGGGGGGCTGCATAGACACATGGTAGATTAGGGGGGGCTGCATAGACACATGGTAGATTAGGGGGGGCTGCATAGACACATGGTAGATTAGGGGGGGCTGCATAGACACATGGTAGATTAGGGGGGGCTGCATAGACACATGGTAGATTAGGGGGGGCTGCATAGACACATGGTAGATTAGGGGGGGCTGCATAGACACATGGTAGATTAGGGGGGGCTGCATAGACACATGGTAGATTAGGGGGGGCTGCATAGACACATGGTAGATTAGGGGGGGCTGCATAGACACATGGTAGATTAGGGGGGGCTGCATAGACACATGGTAGATTAGGGGGGGCTGCATAGACACATGGTAGATTAGGGGGGGCTGCATAGACACATGGTAGATTAGGGGGGGCTGCATAGACACATGGTAGATTAGGGGGGGCTGCATAGACACATGGTAGATTAGGGGGGGCTGCATAGACACATGGTAGATTAGGGGGGGCTGCATAGACACATGGTAGATTAGGGGGGGCTGCATAGACACATGGTAGATTAGGGGGGGCTGCATAGACACATGGTAGATTAGGGGGGGCTGCATAGACACATGGTAGATTAGGGGGGGCTGCATAGACACATGGTAGATTAGGGGGGGCTGCATAGACACATGGTAGATTAGGGGGGGCTGCATAGACACATGGTAGATTAGGGGGGGCTGCATAGACACATGGTAGATTAGGGGGGGCTGCATAGACACATGGTAGATTAGGGGGGGCTGCATAGACACATGGTAGATTAGGGGGGGCTGCATAGACACATGGTAGATTAGGGGGGGCTGCATAGACACATGGTAGATTAGGGGGGGCTGCATAGACACATGGTAGATTAGGGGGGGCTGCATAGACACATGGTAGATTAGGGGGGGCTGCATAGACACATGGTAGATTAGGGGGGGCTGCATAGACACATGGTAGATTAGGGGGGGCTGCATAGACACATGGTAGATTAGGGGGGGCTGCATAGACACATGGTAGATTAGGGGGGGCTGCATAGACACATGGTAGATTAGGGGGGGCTGCATAGACACATGGTAGATTAGGGGGGGCTGCATAGACACATGGTAGATTAGGGGGGGCTGCATAGACACATGGTAGATTAGGGGGGGCTGCATAGACACATGGTAGATTAGGGGGGGCTGCATAGACACATGGTAGATTAGGGGGGGCTGCATAGACACATGGTAGATTAGGGGGGGCTGCATAGACACATGGTAGATTAGGGGGGGCTGCATAGACACATGGTAGATTAGGGGGGGCTGCATAGACACATGGTAGATTAGGGGGGGCTGCATAGACACATGGTAGATTAGGGGGGGCTGCATAGACACATGGTAGATTAGGGGGGGCTGCATAGACACATGGTAGATTAGGGGGGGCTGCATAGACACATGGTAGATTAGGGGGGGCTGCATAGACACATGGTAGATTAGGGGGGGCTGCATAGACACATGGTAGATTAGGGGGGGCTGCATAGACACATGGTAGATTAGGGGGGGCTGCATAGACACATGGTAGATTAGGGGGGGCTGCATAGACACATGGTAGATTAGGGGGGGCTGCATAGACACATGGTAGATTAGGGGGGGCTGCATAGACACATGGTAGATTAGGGGGGGCTGCATAGACACATGGTAGATTAGGGGGGGCTGCATAGACACATGGTAGATTAGGGGGGGCTGCATAGACACATGGTAGATTAGGGGGGGCTGCATAGACACATGGTAGATTAGGGGGGGCTGCATAGACACATGGTAGATTAGGGGGGGCTGCATAGACACATGGTAGATTAGGGGGGGCTGCATAGACACATGGTAGATTAGGGGGGGCTGCATAGACACATGGTAGATTAGGGGGGGCTGCATAGACACATGGTAGATTAGGGGGGGCTGCATAGACACATGGTAGATTAGGGGGGGCTGCATAGACACATGGTAGATTAGGGGGGGCTGCATAGACACATGGTAGATTAGGGGGGGCTGCATAGACACATGGTAGATTAGGGGGGGCTGCATAGACACATGGTAGATTAGGGGGGGCTGCATAGACACATGGTAGATTAGGGGGGGCTGCATAGACACATGGTAGATTAGGGGGGGCTGCATAGACACATGGTAGATTAGGGGGGGCTGCATAGACACATGGTAGATTAGGGGGGGCTGCATAGACACATGGTAGATTAGGGGGGGCTGCATAGACACATGGTAGATTAGGGGGGGCTGCATAGACACATGGTAGATTAGGGGGGGCTGCATAGACACATGGTAGATTAGGGGGGGCTGCATAGACACATGGTAGATTAGGGGGGGCTGCATAGACACATGGTAGATTAGGGGGGGCTGCATAGACACATGGTAGATTAGGGGGGGCTGCATAGACACATGGTAGATTAGGGGGGGCTGCATAGACACATGGTAGATTAGGGGGGGCTGCATAGACACATGGTAGATTAGGGGGGGCTGCATAGACACATGGTAGATTAGGGGGGGCTGCATAGACACATGGTAGATTAGGGGGGGCTGCATAGACACATGGTAGATTAGGGGGGGCTGCATAGACACATGGTAGATTAGGGGGGGCTGCATAGACACATGGTAGATTAGGGGGGGCTGCATAGACACATGGTAGATTAGGGGGGGCTGCATAGACACATGGTAGATTAGGGGGGGCTGCATAGACACATGGTAGATTAGGGGGGGCTGCATAGACACATGGTAGATTAGGGGGGGCTGCATAGACACATGGTAGATTAGGGGGGGCTGCATAGACACATGGTAGATTAGGGGGGGCTGCATAGACACATGGTAGATTAGGGGGGGCTGCATAGACACATGGTAGATTAGGGGGGGCTGCATAGACACATGGTAGATTAGGGGGGGCTGCATAGACACATGGTAGATTAGGGGGGGCTGCATAGACACATGGTAGATTAGGGGGGGCTGCATAGACACATGGTAGATTAGGGGGGGCTGCATAGACACATGGTAGATTAGGGGGGGCTGCATAGACACATGGTAGATTAGGGGGGGCTGCATAGACACATGGTAGATTAGGGGGGGCTGCATAGACACATGGTAGATTAGGGGG